GCAGGAAATTATATGTAACAATTAACTGTGTACTAATTACATGTTTGAATGTTATCAGATTTGCGTTCTGAGATAAAGTGATGTAAGCATCTTCTACAATTAACAATACATGTATATAATAAAATACAAAACTCTCTGCCGAATTTTTTTGTGGAAATCATTCGATCAAGTAAAAATTACTGCGTGACAAGACTAATCAAGTATTTATACCCGATAAAAGAAACTGCCTTATTTTAGGAACAGTGCTATAACAGGACATTTTAAATTTTTAACAAGCAGATACATTAGAGACAGTGACTAGACTACAGGTACGTAATCCGTATCAATCAAAGGTGTAAAAAAACTGAAAATCATATCTGTCGGAGACCTACCAAATTACCAAGTTTTATCATTACTATATTTATTACAATGCAAATACTTTAGTGATACATTTTTCAGAGGAGAGGGTATACAAACAAGTATATTGCTTCCATGTGTGAATGCAGGTTGTACTTGGCATCTCAGTTCTCAGTTTCATACCGGTTGTATATCTGAATTTGTATATGGAACTATGCGTACAGCATGACAATTACATGCTATTCTTCAGTCTGCAACACACATAACACGGTCAAACAATTTTGGGCACCGCTTTTGCAAGTTATTTAGTACAATAATGTTTTATTAAAATCTATTTCAATTTGTTTTCACCATTTTCCCTATTGGCAGTCGTTGTTACGTGCGTCACTATGTAATTAGTACGGCATTGACCTTGTTGATTGTTACTATACTTTGAGGATTTCTGTGGCCAGTGGCGGACGTAATTCAAACTCCTTCCACACTGACATCGCATCAAATATATTTGTGTACCGATTTCATAACTCTTATGGACAGGGTGGGGTGGTAGTTCACCGGACGACACTGTGTATATTGGGCGGCTCCTTTGATATCTCCTCCAAACATACGTTTATTGAATGACCCCATTAAACGATGATACACATATTGATGAATATATCAAGGCACTAATTCATCTTTCATAAACATTTGTTTGTCTTTGTGCTTAATATACCCACATATCAACGAACATTTGTAAAACATGTATCCACAAAAAAATAAACATTTTCAGGCAAGGTGTTTGCCCACAGCAACACCTGCATAACTGTTTATTCACGCGTGGTGTGGTAGATCGTAATTGACCGACAGCAGGTATTGTAGAATAACTTGTAAATAACGCCGACACTGTTATTAGATACAACGTCCTAATGAGAATATGAGAATTATCATAAGAAGGCTGTTGTTTTTTTCTGAACTGTTACCATTTTCATATGGTCAGTTCCACTGGTTCCACTGGTCAGTTCGACACCGCATGTAATTAAATAATTATTTCGAGATTTCGTTAGAATGTAAGATATTCAGCCAAACGTTATGCAATAAAAGTCGAATAGTTTTTTTCATTAAAATACGCGCACGCGTACCTGTATATTGCATACCTAGTGTCACGTAATTGCCCAGTGTGATGTATCAACGGGGCATAAAATGATAAATGAAATAGAAACTAACTAAACTTTAATGTTGTGGAAAATAACTCCAATGAATTGGAGTACACGCACATGGATTCGTATGATAAACTGTCAAAACGTTTTGAGAGGTAAGGCCGGGTTCATTAAAGATCGCTACAAAATGTAAAACAGGTGAAATTTGTAGAACTTCTATAAAGGAAACATCCAATCAAATGCCCTTTTAAAATAGTAATGTAATGATATAATATAAAGTATATTTAACACGATACAATATAATTTGCACACGGTTAGTTGATGCTTTAAAGGGACTGACGAAAACATGGGCGAAATATTTTAATAACGCCGTAAAATAGTTGAATCATGTGTCATGCTTGTAGACACACCTTTATGTATTTGCGAAACTAAAACTTTTGAGCAAAGGAAAATATTCTCGCCCATGGGCCAATCTTTCTCGTCCAGAGCGAAATATTTCAATAACGCCGTAAAATAGTTGAATTAAGTTAAAATTTGTTAAATTATGTGACATGAAACTTCTAAGAACACCTTTATGTATATGCGACACTAAAACATGAGTTTTGAGCAAAGGGAAATATTCTCGCCCATGGGCTAAATATTTCAATAACGCTATAAAATAGCTGAATTAAGTTAAATTGAGTTACATTATATGCCATGAAAATGGTAAGAACACCCGAATGTATTTGCGAAACAAAAACATGAGTTTTGAGTAAAGGAAAATATTCTCGCCCATTGGCGAGAATATTTCAATTTCGCTATAAAATGGGTTTCCAGAATTAAAATGGGACGTGTTATAGGTAAATGCGTCGGACATCATTGTTGTCACTGATGAGTCAAATTTGGAAAGGCCATTAATCGTTTTGAAAGATTTTCTGAGGCCTTGAATGTTGCAACCTTGATCAAACAACCTTTAAGTTAAGAGATCAAATTACTTTTAAGTTAAGAGATCAAATAACTTTTTAGTTAAGAGATCAAACAACTTTTAAGTTAAGAGATCAAACAGCTTTTAAGTTAAGAGATCAAACAACTTTTCAGTTAGGAGATCAAACAACTTTTAAGTTAAGAGATCAAACAACTTTTAAGTTAAGAGATCAAACAGCTTTTAAGTTAAGAGATCAAACAACTTTTAAGTTAAGAGATCAAACAACTTTTAAGTTAAGAGATCAAACAGCTTTTAAGTTAAGAGATCAAACAACTTTTCAGTTATGAGATCAAACAACTTTTAAGTTATGAGATCAAACAACTTTTAAGTTATGATATCAAACAACTTTTCAGTTAAGAGATCAATCAACTTTTAAGTTATGAGATCAAACAACTTTTAAGTTAAGAGATCAAACAACTTTTCAGTTATGACATCAAATAACTTTAGGAGATCAAACAACTTCTAAATTATGAGTCCCGAGTAAGAGAATGCTCGATTGTACCTCAATAGTTCTGAGAAATAGACATCAAAGAATGGAGCTGTTGGAATATTGCTTGACATTAAGGGAAGCTGTCATTTGGAAAGTTGAATAAAAGCGATAATAATCTTTCCATAATCATAGGAAATCTCTGCTAACAGCAGATCTATATTATGAGCAATATCACGCGTCTTGTCATACAGTCTTGTAGATAGGTTTTATCACTCTGAATCTTTATGCATAGATCTAAATATTAACCAGATAGCGTATCATTAAATCAAGGACTGAGCTAACATCTCAATGTGAATATAAAATGTCAAAGATAGGGAATAACCAGTCTTTATCATCCGTCGAAATAGATTCCATTTGTCGTGAAGTGCAAAATAGACGGGAAACCCACTAAAACAGGAGGCGTGTTCCACTTTAGAGGACGGAAACGTTGTTCAAGTGGGAGAGGAAAGAGATGGCGTGTCCCTACTGGCACACATCAGGTGAATTTACGCAACGTCGGTCACGGAGAGTCCTGTAAGGTTTAAACTGACTTTGACAGCCAGGGTAAAGTCGGACCGAACACAAACCAAACACTTCTGATAGTGACTATGTTGAAAATGAATGTAGAGGGAAAGGACTTTACTTTGAGCATCATGTTTGCTTTGAATACTCCGATTTGAGACACTATAAAGTGGTATATACGTAGAAACAATACTATTCTATAGATGTAAACTTCTGATAGAGGTCATGTTGAGAATGTAGAGGGAAAAAGCTTCACTTTGACTATGGTGTTTGCTTTAAATACTCCGATTTGAGACACAGAAAAGTGGTATATAGGGAGATATAATACTAGTCTATAGATGCAAACACAATTGATTATACATCTGTGAGGTTTAAGTTAATTTTGACAGCCCGAGCCAAGTGGGACCGAACATTTGTAAGACCGTTGAGAGTATGGGGAAAAGAGGTTCCCTTTAACCAACGTGTCTGCTTTAAATACGATGAACAGTGACATTGTAATGTGGCATGTACTTAGATATTGATGTAAACAGACACATTTTTATCACGATAGTTGGAAGTATTTGATACGTTTCAAATCCTATTTCGTTTACGATTACTCTTTCACATGTAACCTAGCTCAGCCACGCTTGCAGACAGTTCGACGTTCATTTTTAAGCGATTTACTCGCAATAACTTAATTATGTTGCACGTTTTTTGGTTTGAGATCGTTCATTAATGTCATGTGTGTCTGCTGCATCAATAATATGTAGGCATGGTCGTCGATAATGGAGTAATTAGCCAATTATAACGTAGGCCCGTCTGTGCCCGGCCCTTGGATGGGTGGCCGCGTCCGACTCCTGAGAGTTTCCAGGACTTCGGTCCTGCCCCACACTGAAACACGTGTCTTGTTGGGCAAGTGTCTTTGTTCGAAATCCTGTTTAACCTTCTTGCGCCTAACAGGCAGCTTGGGTTGTATACTCCTTAGGGAGCGGAGAATGATTATTTAGTGCACACTATTCCTTGACCGGGGTAATAATGTCTAAGTGCTAAGAACATGCTTATGCATGAAGTACAGCGTCATGTCAATGGATTATTAATATCATTATCATCATCATCTTCATTATTATTATTATTATTATTATTATTTACAGATCAAAATAATGCAGCAAAGAGGGTTTGGGTGATCCTGGGACAGGCCTGGGTAGGTCTGAGGCCGTATGTATGGGCCTATTCCAAAGGATTTTGTATTTATCATTTTCCACGACGCCTTCTGCGTATTCTGGGTCGTACCATGGACCTTTGTGTCAAAACCACAAGCATGGCAAAGACGGTAATAAAATGATCGAGCCACTCCATCACTCCATTATCATTATTATTATTATTACGTGCACGCATGAATTTCCGCAACAAAGGTACAGTGAACTACGGTTATAACGAACACGCTTATAACGAACTGACGAATATAACGAACTATGTTTTTGGTCCTGTCTATTTGCTGTATATATTCCGTACATTTGCTTATAACGAACTACGGTTATAACGAATTAAATTAAGTGGTCCCTTTGAGTTCGTTATAACCGTAGTTCACTGTACTTACCCCAGTAAGTAGTTCCTGCACCATGCCGTTGATCATCTCCCCGTCCGACACCGTGTCCGTCACTTCAATTATCTCATACGTGAAGTTCACTTTCTGAGCAATGAGGTACAACAGATCCACGTTGAAACCTTCAAAATCGCCCGATGAATTTTTCATGACGAAGGGTTCGAGCTACAATGAAGCAAAAGTGCAATGTGTGTTTATCATGCATTGAAGCATATTGAATACATACGTTTTCAACCTTTCTTTAATAGATCAGAGGCAGAGCATTATTTTCAGGGATAAGTTACGACCTTCGTTTAACCAAAAAATATTCTTTTCTCCATAGTGACTGAGTCAGTGAGTGAGTATGGTTTAACGCCGCTTTTAGCAATATTCTAGCAATATCCCTGCGGGGGACACCAGAAATGGGCTTCATACATTGTACCCATTTCTCCTAAGAGAACAAGAATAGGATCTGATTTTCATTTCATTAGGAAACCTACTTTTCACCTGGCAAACACAGCGAATCCATCAACTCGAACCCTTATCTTATAAACTGAGGGGTCAAAGAAAGTATCCCGGGTTTGTTTTTTATGTTATTGAAAATTGAAATAAGTGACTATTAAAGACTATTTGACCAACATTTATTCCCGCAAATGTTTGTAAAATAAAAAGTAATCTGTGGCTGGGAAAGTTTGTGTAAAAATAAATTGGTTCAATGAAGACTGGGGTAAGAAATGAATTGGCAACCATATGACTCCTACCATGTTTGAAATGTTGTAAATTTGAAAAAAGCAAATTTATTGAATTTTTAAAGATACGATGACTAAGATACCCATCAACAGTTTTGTATTATGCAAAAAAAATCATATTTAAAAAATAAAAACGTGTAGGAATATTATTCGAGTGTTGACGAAGCGCCAATACAGGTTAGATAATATTGCTAACTTAAGACAGTTTCAATTGACAATTAAACATATGATAAAATAAACTTAGAGATATAGGTTCCTTTGCTCCTCAGTTTATATCAAACCAGTATGGTATAAATATTATCGGTTATCCGCATGTCTCCGATTAATGCGATACATTTGGCTCCTCTAAAGAGAGGGTTTAACAAGATACGCCATGCATGGCTATACTTACTAAACGCGCCACGACTCGGAGCTTCTCAACCCGAGCGTGAGTCTTACTTTTGGAACCGGGCTCAGTCATGGTAAAGTTGTCAAAGAGATTCACTGTAGACGTCTCATTGATGAAGGTACACTGGCCAACCTATTGAAAGACAAATATATGCTGCTAAACCAGTGACCGATAGCGTGAGCGTCATGCGTGGGGCCTATCAACCCATGAACTTACCCGAGCAGCAAATTTAAGTTGTTACCATATCTATACACGTTGAACCATCAAATGTATTTCCCCTGTCTGCATCTAGGATATAAAACGTCAACGCCAGAAAATAATCCGCCGATGATCCGCCGAAACTGATTCCATTTGGCGTTTAAGGCAAAAAAATGAAAAATATATGAATGGATCACTGAAAATCAGTGATGACACCAGGTGTTCCAGTGCCGTTGCCACCGGGGGTGGGGGGGTGGGGGGTGGGGTGGGGTGGGGGGGGGAGAGGGGGGTCAGTTGCCTTACCCCCCTTCCCCCCTGGATTTTGGATAGAAAACATTTTTCCTTGTGAAAGTTAACTTGAATAAGAAATGAATAATCTTATTTGCCCCACCTGTCAAAAAAAGTTAACTACGGCCTTGTGTTCGCGATAAGGCTAAGCATATCCTGTTCCGCTGGTTAAACCCGCCGCTCACGCAATATGCAGAAACATATAGGTATACCAAAAAATCCTAAATTAAGATAACTATTGGCTATCGTTGATAACAAATCGTTTTCAAAAATTTTTTAAATCGGAACTAGAGTATCAATGTATTCATAAGATTAGACAGATTAACTAAAGTTTGAATGTGCTTTATGATTGAAGTCCCCAAGGTTAATAAGATTCCGAAGTTAACAAGTTACTGTTGGAGAGGTTGAATGTGCGCTATTCCTGCTATATGACATCGGGGCACCATAATCGGCTTTAGACCTTGTACCGCTTTGACGAATCGAACCCTAGACTTTGATAAGACGAGCAAAAACGTTGACCACTGAGCTATCCTCCCCTCCCTGGGAGTACTGGTCACCTCTGGTACTGGTCACCTCCAGGGAGGCATGGTTACCTTCTTGAGAGTTTGTTCGTAGTGCAGGACATCGATGGAGTAGTTGCTGCGGTCGTTGATGTACCACATGTACTGCCCCAGGGCTCCCTGATAGGGTGATGCCTGTAAATATACATATACTACACAACTGTTGATAGAGATGCTCTGTGTGTCCAGACGATGACTGAGGTGCACTTTTTGCACGCTTTGGAACAACATTACCGTCAACGTCAAAATATATCAAGGACTGTAAAAACCTGTTTGTTCCAATCCGCCTACAACGTTCATTGAATACTCTGTCTGACCACCAGACTCATGCAAAAGCGCCTTTGAGCAGATTCAATCTGGAAATTGGCGCTATTATTATTATTAGTAGTAGTAGTAGTAGAAGTAGTAGTAGTAGTAGAGAGAGACTTGCATGAACGTGTGTGTGTGTATGTGTGTGTGTGTGTGTGTGGCTGCTTGTACTAGTCCGGATTTATAGGGGTCTTATTCAACTGATATACCATGCCGCAGTTTCACATGCATACACCACCCATTATACGGACTCTGAGCTGACCAGTTCTTGATTAATCCCCTCAATGAGGAGCACCGGGCAGGGTAACAAGTACCGCCTTTTAAAGTATTTTGGTATGACGCGGCCAGGGATCGAACCCCGACCTTCCACTCTCCGGGCAGACGCTCTGTCCACCACACCACCATTGTGTGAAGATACTATTCAGCACTACCATGGAACTGACACAGCTTCAATTTACAACGAAGTACACATTCCACATCTGTCGAACTGTGTGTCAACATATGGCTGAGATGCTATGTGTGTATGCTTGGTTCAATGTGGGCAGTATATATATGAGTGAATTAGTATATGCCTATACACATATGACTGTGAACGGTGCTGAAAATATACTCGCCGCCAAAAGAAACGCGAACCATAGAAACATATAGAGAAGTATGTACGTTAAGAAGAGGTGTTTCCAATGTGTGCCAATTAATGACAAAATTAACAATCATTCAAGTGTTACCACATAATGTCTGTATTCTTATCACGATATGCTGCACGTGATTTCCAAACTTTACCCGCTAATCCTGCACGTGACAAATTGTGCATCTCGAGTCATGGATCTATGACGTCACATGTGATGCGTTCATGAGCATCGGCTCACACAACATACCAGTGCATTGGTGCATCGAACCAATCAAATATCTCTAGAATATGAGTAAGTCTATATATATTAAGCAGCATTTATGGTATTCGCGTTTCTTTTGGCGGTGAGTATATATACTGGTATATATTCTAATGAGACAATCCCATATCAAAACAGAAATATATGTTAATATAAATTCAAACATTGAAAGACAAAAACAATATGCATCCTTGAACACACTACTCTGAAACTGTTAACCTGTAGATCCAGAAGAATATGTTTTTTACCCTTGCCAGTGTATCGCTGAACTCCCCGGCAGCCATGACGTCGTTCCGGACAGGTTCCTGACTGCAGTTCCTGGCTCTAGTATACAGGACGTGACGTAGCAGACCGACGACATCGACAGCCAGCGCCACCTCCAACCTCGTCATGTTGCGCTGGTCTGCAACATCTGCAAGGAGTGAGTGAGTATGGTTTTACGCCGCTTTTAGCAATATTCCAGCAATATCACGGCGGGGGACACCAGAAATGGGCTTCACACATTGTACCCATGTGGGGAATCGAACCCGGGCCTTCGGTGTGACGAGCGAATGCTTTAACTACTAGGCTACCCTACCGCCCGTTATATAATAAGTTATACAAACCATTACCATCTACTGATATTTAATAGATGTCAACCCGAGAAAGTTTAGATATGCATTATCAAAGTTTTGCAGCAGTGGGGGTAGCCTAGTGGTTACAGCGTTGTCTCGTCACGCCGAAAGCCCGGGTTCGATTCCCCACATGGTTATAATGTGTGAAGACTATTTTCCGGTGTCCCCCGCCGTGTTATTGCTTGATATAGCTAAAAGCGGCGTAAAACCATACTCACTCACTATCACAGTTTAGTGCACACAGATTAATGATTAAACTAGGGAGGCTCAATAACATACCACGAAATCAGAGATTGCGTACGCAATGTAATTTATTTTCAGTGGAGGATGAATAACATGTTTTATTAGTATGTACTGAAAATAGTAACTTGAGAAAAACAAACTATCGTACTCTTTTGTTCATCCAAATATCAATAAATTTGTTTCAGTGATGAAATCAGTCAATACAAAAAGGGCAACTTATCAATGTACAGCCTCACTGGATATATACTGAGGGGCAAAAGAAACAATACCTCTCAGTTGATTTTATCATATGTTTCATTTTCAATTGAAAATATCTTAAGTTAGCGATATTTTATCCAAACAATGATCAATACAGTCGCATAGTCAGCACTCAAAGAATACTTGTACATGTTGTATTTTTAAATAAATAATTTGATTCAAAACTTTTAACAATTATTTAAAATATAGTTCACACAATACACAACTGTTGATGAGTATCTTAGACATCTTTTCCATGAAAATCAATAAATTTGATTTTTTTTTTGCAAAAATTTGCAACGCTTCAACCATGGTAGGGGTCATGTGGTTGCATTGAAACATTTTATTTTTACACCAAATTACCAGCCACAGATTACGTTTTACAAACTGTTGCCGGAATGAGTTATGGTTAAATAGACAAAATCACATTTAACACCATTTATTCTTTGTTTTTGCCCCTCATTAATACATATACTATGTTCAGTATTGGGGATATAGACTGTAGTACTATAGGACAGTAGAAGTCACCAACTCAGGCGCGAACAAGATGTACCGTCGAGACAAGACGCGGATACAAAAGTTAAACACTGAAATGAACAAGTACATTTATTAACAAAAACAAAGTGAATCATAAATGAGGTGGTGAGGTGAGGTGAAATGGGGTTTAACGTCGCGTCCAAGATTATTGCACTTATACAGCGACGTGCATGCGCGTGTGTGTGTGTGTGTGTGTGTGTGTGTGTGTGTGGCTGCTTGTACTTGTTCGGACTGATGCCGATTTATAGTGCTAGCTCACTGAGATACCATGAATACCCCACTCATACACAGTTTACTGACTCCGAGCCGATCAGTCCTTGTTTTAGCCCCTTAATGCCGGTATGAACAAGTACCATTTTTTAACATCTTTTGGTATGACGCGGCCGGGGATCAAACCCCGGACCTTCCGCTCTCCGGGCGGACGCTCTACCACTAGACCACGGAGGCGGTATCAATAAATGAAAAGGTAAATAATAAATCGTTTCGTATTTTGAGTTATTTACGTGAAATATTTGTTGGAATCTTATCGGCTCTCAAGAGCTGCAGTCCGAATATACTTCCAGGCCACGACTCGTCGTCTTCGTTCACGATGTCTTCAAAATCCTGAAAAGAGGAAACGAATTATGAGCATCAATCAAAAAACGATGTGATCTCATGTAAACGATGTAACCTAATGTAAACGACGTAACCCCATGTGAACGCTGCAGCTTCATGTGAACGATGTAACCACATGTAAAGGATGTAACCTCATGTAAACGACGTAAGTCCCAAATCAACTTGGACACTACGGACTTCAACCAGGGAGGGTGGTGGGGTAGCCTCGTTGTTAAAGTGTTCGCTTGTCACGCCGAAATCCCGGCTTCGATTCCCCAAATGTGTTCTATGCACGAAGCCCATTTCTGATGTCCCCTGCCGGATATTCCTGGAATATTGCTAAAAAAAACGGCGTAAAACGATATTCAATCACTCACTCGAGTAACGGTTAATTGGACATATATTTAATGATGCCCAAAACGGGTTCAGCTGAATACATGGATCATAAGAGTAAGTGAGTGAGCTTGGTTTAACTCCGCTCTGAACAATATTTCGGTTATACCTAGGCGTGTCAGTTTGATGTGGGAGGAAAGTGATGTATGCTTTGACTTTTAGCACTTTGTTGAAACCCACGAGCACGGGTATGGTGCTGACAAACCTAGAAACATAATCGGGGAGAATCTTGGATTCGAGGTCATGATCACAGGTTTCTGTATCACAAGGTCTGAGTGCGAAAAGCGACGCCACCCGTGCCCCCTGGTGCAACTAAACGATCTTTTCAATATATGTTCTACTAAGATGATATATGCTTCCCTAGATCATCTTACGTCTAAATACGAACAAAGTCAATGCCTGCATCCTTCTTACCGGGTAGTCCACCAGCCACTGTATCGTGTGGTGCAGCAGATGGAGTCGTTTCGCCTGGAATGGAGAATAGGAGTGAAATGTGACGTCATAATAATAATTGTATCCGATACTTTTTCCGGAAAAAATGATTATTACCCTTGACTAACAAGATACCGAATTTGAACAAGACGAATCAATGGTAGCGACCAAGCCATCAACTTTTCAGTCGACTCTCATGACAACCATCGGCTACTGGGGTATTCTAATTATGCAACCGGGAGACCTGCCTTGGAATTGGCGGAACTTTTTATCAGGACTCCCAAAGGGGAGAAAAGGGTGGGTTACTAAGGACCTATTCTGACCCGGAATCCCCACAGAGAGGCACACACGGTGTACTGGGGACCTGTTCTGACCTGTAACCTCTAGAGAGAGACAAGCGTGGCATATTGGGGATCTAATCTTATCAGGAATCCCCTCAGAGAGACACACGCGGTGTACTGGGGATCTGTTCTGACCTGGAATCTCTACAGAGAGACAAGCGTGGCTTATTGGGGATCTAATCTGATCAGGAATCCCTACAGAGAGACACAGGCGGTGTACTGGGGACCTATTCTGATCAGGAACAGGAATACAAAACATGATAAATGATGACAAAGCAAATGTACTTTACTGCAATCTGTCCTCCTGTCATATATAATGTATACCATATTCAATAAAATAAATAGAAAATGGTTCACGGGTATTGACACATTCAGTTACAAAATTTCACGAATTTCACAAGGGATATTTTTTAATAATTTGTCTGACAAATCACACACTATATGGCATCACATACGTTTATGCACCACTGAGAACCTCCCTCATCAGTGAATCATAAGTCAAAGAAAACTGCAAGTGGGATTTAGTTCCATTGACTACAACCCCACCCAGCCCTGTAGTGTCGCTCCCCCGTGTTTATGACATATGAATAATTAAATAGTGTTAATACATGTAAGGGAACTTTTGCTTTCCTCGTTTACTCTGCCATGTTTGACATTCAACGAAGTCTGCGGGCCGGGCACCTCCCACAGGGATCAGTTTAAACCATATAGTGACCCCTTCTTTAATCTAATCCTCTAAACAATCCTCCTTCAGCAAATAAAGTGTTAATAATGTCATTTTTGGTTGATACGCTATAAAGTTGTATTTAGGGGTTGTGAGTAGCCAAGTGAGTATAGTGTTCGCTCGTCACGTCGGCGTACCGGTTTGGATTTCCCTGTATGTGTAAAGCCAGGCGTGATATAGCTGTAATATCTTAAAACACAATACATTTACTCAATCAGCAGTCACTTTCCGAAACACTTGATCTCAACCAGTACTGCTAATTATTTACACACACACACACACACACACACACACACACACACACACACACACACACACACACACACACACACACACACACACATTGTGCACATGCATTACTCACAGCTCTCATCACATGCATGACAGTGTCGCGCTTCGTGGAGTGCAGGATGAAGCGCTTCTTCTGTGAGGCTCTCAGCTCCATCAAGTTCCGGACCAGATCCACATCCTCATCCGAGTCGATCCGAGACGGGAGCCGGATCGGAGACACCTGGATATTATGGGTGCCTAGGTTCAGCACCGTGGAAAAGTCATCTGGAAAACAAAGATTTCAACACCACTCAGTCTCAGTATCAGTATATCACCATGTAATTCTGGTCCTGAGCCTCTGAGTCTTATATTACTTTATTTACAAGTGAAACAGGAAGGTTACGAATACCTACACCATAGGCGCAGAGCGAACTGAGGTATCAAAAATCCAATGTTTCTACCAACATAAATTATTGCACAAATAACCAGGTTGTTACTTTATTCATATGAGCGAGAAAACACATCACACATCACATTGAATTATCAAGCATCAACCATCACCTCTCATGATCACCCATCTCTCATCACTCTTCATCCATCACCCATCATGCATCTCCCAACTCCCATCACTGATCATGCATTACCCATCATGCATCACCCATCTCCCATCACTGATCATGCATTACCCATCATGCATCACCCATCTCCCATCTCCCATCACTGATCATGCATTACCAATCATGCATCACCAATCACCCATCACACATCTGCCATCAGGGATCATCAATCATGCATCACCCATCTGCCATCTGGGATCACCCATCATGCTTCACCCATCAGATATCACCCACCATGCATCACCCATCTCCCATTTGCCATCTCACACCTCCGTTCACTGATCATGTATCACCCATCACCCATCTCCCATCCCCCATCCCCCATCACCCATCACCCATCATGCATTCTAATTATGAAACCGGTAGACCTACTTTGGGTTGGCTTTGGGGACTATTTTATCAGGACATAACCCTACAATAGAGGGTTATAACTGAAACACCGTTGACAAGGCGCTAACCCTCACTGACGATAAAGTAAAGGTCGTGTCTAGCATGCATGCCACGTATCGCAATTGCCGATGCTCATGATGTTAATCACTCGATTGTCTATTCCTGACCCAGTTATTTACAGACAGACGTCATTTACTTGAAGCTGGCATAGTGAAGCTGGAGCGGCGTTCAAACACAAATAAACAATATTAACTCAGGTTACCGAGTAGCTTTAACCTCCAATGTCACTGAGTGCAAAACTTCATACGGGAGCTTGAAAATTAGATTTTTTTAATCTGGTTGCAATAAAAAAAAATGACATATTGTGTTCTATTTGAGTTATATCTCAGTTGTCAAACATAACAAATAGCTTTGTCACAAAATTCTTTGCGTGCTAAATTATTAATAATGACTCGAGTTACATAACCACAAGGGGAACTGTGCATTTTATTTTATTCATTAATGGACTCCATGGCACAGCCATATCAAGTTTAAACAATCAATGTGGCTAAATTGACGAATGTGATGGACATTGTGATATGTCATTGTTTCGATATTATTCGTGTTAAGATAGAATTGGTGATAATGTGATCAGAAGAACTATCAAATCAACGGAGAATAGTACCACATTGTGTTGATCCAGAGTTAATACGCCTATCGATGTGGCACTGATGGTGGAGGAACTTGCAGGAAGACATGAGAGCCAGCACGCTCTGTCTGGGAGCGTAGGTGTTTTTAGCTAAGCACCACAGCTCGTGGTTCTCGTTCTTTCAGTGCAGCATAAAGTTTCCGAAACTTTATCCAACATCATAATTAATAAAAAAATGGCACTGACGTGGAGAAAGTGCTCAGACAAATGTGTATAATTTCTTTTATTTTCTGATTGGAAGACTCGTTCACTGAAAACCTGATATGTTATTTTTTTCATACAATTGCGACGTGCGGTGATGTGCACCAACAGATTGGCGTCTTTATTGACTAAATTGCATCGCATTAACAAACTGGAATGATTTCACTACACTGAGTAACCATGTCGTATGAGAAAAGGTCACAGTTCATCAGAATATGCACATAAAAGCGACAAAAACCTTTCAATAATCATAAGAAATGTCTGCTAAAAGCAGAATCCTTTGTACGATTCCGTCTATATCATAAGCATCTGTTTATGAATCACTATCAAATACTGATTAAAATGGGGTTTGAGTGAGCAATGTTAAGGTACACAAGTCTTTTCTTTCATTTCTGTCATTTAATTTATTAATTGTAAATAAGCATACATGAAAATCTATGAAAAGGCGTTCTAAGTTATGATAACTTGTGCCTTAAACAATAAAATCTGGCACCAGTCACGAACACATGCAAACGCAAGTCAATTGTTCCCCAGAAAGAACAAAACATGCGATACATGGTACTATTATGGCAACTAATGTATGTCATGGTTTCTGCAGTGAAATAACATAAAAAATCATGGGTTGAGTGACTTATTGAGAGAGTTTCACGTCGTCGCTAGCAATATTCAAGCAATTACACAACGAGTTACACCAAGAATACGCTTTTCGGCCAGCAATATTCAAGCAACTCAATGACACGTCATCATGGACAGAGCATGGGCACCCCATCCCCTTCTCAGTCGACTCTTACGTCTAGTATTAGGCACTATGGGTCTACATAATGTTGACTTGTTGAGAATCGAACCTGTTTTAACATTTCGGCAACGGCTGTACCCGCTAGACTACCTCGATCCCTTGAGGTCTATAGGAAGACGTATGTCTGTCCATTCGAGAGTGTCCCACTCATCAAAGCACCGCAATGTCCTGTGCATAGTTCCACGCCTTTGTTGTGCTGGGATTCAAGTATTGTGGGTTCGATTGCCAGATTCGCCATGATTATGATGCTTTACATTGAGTTGTGTTCCATGTCCGTGCTCGGGGTATCAGGGTCTCACACGGGTCGCAGTAATATCACATCGGTCTATAATTAATCCAATTTGGACCGGGGGCACGGGTGGCCCCAGTCGTTTAAGAATTGCGTCCCTTGGGCACGCCAGAAACCTAATAGTATGATTGTGGGTTCGAATCCCTGTTCGCCCCGATTATGGTTCTAGGTTTGTCAGCACCATGCCCGTGCTCGTGGGTTTCACCGAGGTGGTAACAGTCTGAGACCTGCATCACTTCGGGCTTTCCTCCCACGTTGAGCTGACACGCAGTGATACAACTGGAATACTGTTAAAAGCGGCGTTAAACCCAGGTCACTCACTCACTCTCGCCAATCTGGACCAGGCAATTCATGAGAATCGATCCACGCAGTTGGGATACAATGACGTTCAACCAAGTCACCGAGCCATACCACGCGATCAATTTAGACAAGCTGCTGGGGACCTATATTCTCATAGTTGTGACTCAGTAACTTTAAATTTGAATCTCTGTTAAATTCAGTGTAACTGTCAATGTATATATCCCTTTTACCTTTGAATCTTTTATAGACTATACAACATTATGTCTATCTATGTCTATCTACATTCTAATAATGTAGGATGATTGATTGATCGATTGGTTGACCGATTGATTGATTGATTGATTGATTGATTGATTGATTGATGTCCCTTTTACCTTTCAATCTTTTATAGACTATACAACTCTGAAACATTATGTCTATCTTTGTCTATCTACATCCATACAATGTAGTATCATTGATTGATCGATTGATTGATTGATTGATTGATTGATTGATTGATTGATTGATTGATTGATCATATTCACTAATTTTAAGGATTAAAAGTATGGACACCATTCCAGCCTTGATAGGGTTAAAATGAATCCCCATTAACAAATGATTACATCTGCAAACATCGCAGTCTCACAGTAGGATGTGCTCATTGTTCTCTATCAACACTGAAATCGATATCTTGGCGTCAAAATGACAACTTCTGGAAAATGGATCCGGGGAAAAATTCACTCAGAGATACAATAACAGTCATTTACGTAGCATTACCATGAATTGTATACACTTATTCTTTAATGAAAACCCCAATGGGCTTTAGGACGTGACTGGTTTGTGATCAAATCTGTCCACGCATGCCCATGACACGCACCATATCTACGAGGAGTGGCGGAAAATATCAAAAGGATCATGAAATAGATAACTTATGACAGCTGCGTGGATGTGACGTTTCCTAGATTACGGGTGATATTTGATGATAACCTTTGTTGAATTATCACAATATGTATTAATGAAATTGATACACTCGTTTAATGAACTGTCACGTTATGTGGAACTTTTCGCTGAACTCAGCCAAATTGGTGTTGGGTTGAGGCATCATGTGATAATAGAATCCTCCCCTAACAGATGAAACAGTTTATAGAGAATAGGATCTTCAATTAGGAGTACAGGGGAGGTATGGTTGGGTTGTTAGTAAAGATTTGTATCAAATTGTCTTGTTGGATTAGTAATGTTCTTGATGCGAAAATAATGCAGAAATGATTGGCTTACACAATACAAAGACACCAATGTTATTATATTAATACTTCCCATAAACACTACTGTAAAACATCGCTGAGATTAAGCGCTTTGTATTTGAACAAAAGTATATATTAGAACAACTGTTTCTGAGATCCTGGTGTGTCCTGTAATAAATAACGTTAGAAAATAATAACAACATCATTTTGAAACTTTGAAACGTTGACATATTGCATGATATTATTCGATCATACAGAAGGTTACAAAGATAATATAATATTCCTTATAAAGATATCGTAAATAAATTACTTACACATTGGGAACAAATAAATGAATGTTTTTTATATAATTTCACAGAACTACTTATTGAAGTTATAGACAATGGCAGTATGAGTGAGGGAGATCACCATGAACACCGTTTCGAAACCATGTACAATGAGGGCTGAAGCCGCTGTGACAGTACACATAGTCCGGTAGGAAAATGCTTCCTTGTAACAAACGTCCTAGGACATGAGGCCCTAGATACCAATGTCCTACCCGGACTGATTCCTGATATATTGCGACTAGGACTGAGAATCTAAGACGGAAATCGTGGCTTTCAGCCTTCCTCTGTTGTGAAGAGGGAAGGATGTGCAGAGTTTGCCACGACCATCATCGCTTCTCCATGGTAACCAAGTAAGAATAATTTGCATTGGTGTGTTGTGAGTTCGATTCAATTATTCATATGTATTTATATGTCATTAATATGCAAGTATATTATTTCCTATGCATACAATTATATACAGTATTACCGCTCTGGTAACTGATTTTATTTTCATAGATTGGTCACATAGGCACCTCATTGAGGAAGCAGTAAAATAATCACTTTTAAAAGTAATGTAAAATTGAACTTTGTAACCACAATTGAAATAAATGTTCCACAGCATTATGGGGAGCGGTGAGGTAGCCTAGTGATTAAAGCGTTCGCTCGTCACGCCGAAGATCCGGGTTCCATTCCCGACATGGGTACAATGTGTGAAGCCCATTTCTGGTGTCCCCGGCCGTGATATTGCTGGAATATTGCTACAAGCGGTGTAAAGCGTGTAAAACTCACTCCCTTACCCACAGCATTATGATAGTTTAAAGCTCAATTATTCATGGATCGAGCACGTCCTCCATCACTCGTTTAGCTTTGGTTGTGGATAACAATATTTAAGCGTATGTTTCTAGGACATAGTTGCATCATCGAGAGGCAAATACTATTATCCTTCATACTACCTCACACATCGAAAGGCTACTCACCCGGAGACAGAAAATACTATCATCCTTCCTACTGCCTTATACATCGAGATGTTCCTCACTCTCAGACACCAAATACTTTTATCCTTCTTACCTCCTTAAACATCGAGCGGCTACTCATACTGAGACAACAAATACTATTATCCTTCATACTAATCTACACATCGAGATGCTACTCACCCGGAGACAGCAAATACTATCATCCTTCCTGCTGCCTTATACATCGAGCGGCTACTCATACTGAGACAGTAAATACTATTATCTTTCATACTATCTACACATCGAGATGCTACTCACCCTGAGACAGCAAATACTATTATCCTTCATACTACCTACCACAGTGAGATCCTACTCACCCGGAGACACCAAATACTATCATCCTTCCTGCTACCTTACACATCGAGGGGCTACTCACTCTCAGACACCAAATAATTTTATCCCTCTTACTACCTTACACAACGAGATGCTAATCACATTTAAACAACAAATATCATTCATTCTACCTTACACAAGCGAGAGCCTCCTCACCCTCAGACAACTCTTCTTCTCTACACATCGAGATGCTACTCATGCTGAGAAAACAAAAACTATTATCCTTCATACTATCTACTCATCGAGATGGTACTCACCCTGAGACAGCAAATACTATTATCCTTCATACTGTCTGCACATTGCGATGCTACTCATACTAAGAAAGCAAAAACTATGATCCTTCATACTACCATACATATCTAGAGGCTACTCACCCCGAGACAGCAAATACTATTTTCTTACATACTACCTAACATATCGTGATCCTACTCATCTTGAGACAGCAAATACTATTATCTTTCACACTACATTACACATCGAGATCATGCTAGTCACCCGGAGACATCAAATACTATTATCCTTTATACTACCTTACACATCGAGATGCTACTCACCCTGAGACAGCAGAGCCACATACTTCCAGCCGAGTTTCTCCACTATCTTGGACACGGCCTCGGACAAATTGTGCCGTTCCGGAAGTATTGACAGAATCATTTCAGGGTCGAGAAGGTCTACTCACCCTGAGACACCAAATATTATTATCCTTCATACTACCTACACGTCGAGAAGTTACTCACCCTGAGACGGCAAATACTATTATCCTTCATACTACCTTCACGTCGAGAGGCTACTCACCCTGAGACGGCAAATACTATTATCCTTCATACTACCTTCACGTCGAGAGGCTACTCACCCTGAGACGGCAAATACTATTATCCTTCATACTACCTACACGTCGAGAAGTTACTCACCCTGAGACGGCAAATACTATTATCCTTCATACTACCTTCACGTCGAGAGGCTACTCACCCTGAGACGGCAAATACTATTATCCTTCATACTACCTACACGTCGAGAAGTTACTCACCCTGAGACGGCAAATACTATTATCCTTCATACTACCTTCACGTCGAGAGGCTACTCACCCTGAGACGGCAAATACTATTATCCTTCATACTACCTTCACGTCGAGAGGCTACTCACCCTGAGACAGCAAATACTATTATCCTTCATACTACCTACACGTCGAGAGGCTACTAACCATGAGACAGCAAATACTATTATCCTTCATACTACCTTCACGTCGAGAGGCTACTCACCCTGAGACAGCAAATACTGTTATCCTTCATCCTACCTAACATATCGAGATCCTACTCACCCTGAAACAGCAAGTACTATTATCCTTCATACTACCTACACGTCGAGAGGCTACTCACCCTGAGACAGCAGAGCCACATACTTCCAGCCGAGTTTCTCCACTATCTTGGACACGGCCTCGGACAAATTGTGCCGTTCCGGAAGTATTGACAGAATCATTTCAGGGTCGAGATGCTACTCACCCTGAGACAGCAGAGCCACATACTTCCAGCCGAGTTTCTCCACTATCTTGGACACGGCCTCGGACAAATTGTGCCGTTCCGGAAGTATTGACAGAATCATTTCAGGGTCGAGAAGGTCTGTTTTCTGACCAGCTGATGATGTCAGCATGTGGCGCTGGTTCAGAATGACGTAATTGGTGGAGGTAAAGACGTCAATGTAGGGACCGATGGCAACGGCGACGTAGTGGTTTTGAAAGTTTCTCCTGGCTGAAGACACATAATTGTTAGAGGTCAGACCTTTGGATCTGCATCAACGATATGAAGTGTGACAAGAATGTTAGCTTTATTGTTTTATGGATGCTGATTTTATATATTGATTATATTGGTAAATATGGGGTATATGGACATTTATCAAAACGTCATTGGCCAATAATTTTACATGTAAGGTAAATATAAAACGTCAACGCCAGAAACTAACAAGTGGTAAGTATCCGCCCAAACAGGTTTCATTGGGCGTAAAAGGAACAATAGTCGTGGCGATTATATGAATGGGTCACTGAAAATCAATGATAACACATATACATACTTCTGATAGACATATACATACATATAATGCCCGGCTACAACAGTGTACATTGCTCTTAAAAAGGAAAGTTGTTACAGAGTTGTTGGCACTCTTCGGATACAATCGCAAGAGGAACACTTGCAAGAGGTTTTTTAATGAGGAAAGACAGTTCTATAGATACCTTACTTTCATGCAAAATTAATTCTGAAATACGTGTCTTAAATACTGTTCACCTACAAAGGTTCAAAAATAACTTTAATGTCGTTCATGTGGTAGCTAAAGCCGCAGTGTTTTGATGCAGCTTATATTGTGCCTCAGTCATAGCTCATGTTACTTAGTTCAGGAACATCTCCAGATGTATCTCACCCTGTACCTGGTGCTGCTGGACTAGTGTACATCTCTAGATGGAGCTAGACCAGGCTGCCTACCTGCTGTCAGACTGCGGTACCTGGTAATGCCTGACTCATCCACATCTTTAGATGGAGCTAGACCATGCTGCCTACCTGCTGTCAGACTGCGGTACCTGGTGCTGCCTGACTATTGTACATCTCTAGATGGAGCTAGACCATGCTGCCTACCTGCTGTCAGACTGCGGTACCTGGTGCTGCTGGACTAGTGTACATCTCTAGATGGAGCTAGACCAGGCTGCCAACCTGCTGTCAGACTGCGGTACCTGGTGCTGCCTGACTCATCTACATCTCTAGATGGAGCTAGACCATGCTGCCTACCTGCTGTCAGACTGCGGTTCCCCTGTGCTTCCTGACTCATCCACATCTTTAGATGGAGCTAGACCATGCTGCGTACCTGCTGTCAGACTGCGGTACCTGGTGCTGCCTGACTATTGTACATCTCTAGATGGAGCTAGACCATGCTGCCTACCTGCTGTCAGACTGCGGTACCTGGTGCTGCTGGACTATTGTACATCTCTAGATGGAGCTAGACCATGCTGCCTACCTGCTGTCAGACTGCGGTACCTGGTGCTGCCTGACTCATCTTCATCTCTAGATGGAGCTGGACCATGCTGCCTACCTGCTGTCAGACTGCGGTACCTGGTGCTGCCTGACTCATCTTCATCTCTAGATGGAGCTAGACCATGCTGCCTACCTGCTGTCAGACTGCGGTACCTGGTGCTGCTGGACTATTGTACATCTCTAGATGGAGCTAGACCATGTCGCCTACCTGCTGTCAGACTGCGGTACCTGGTGCTGCCTGTCTATTGTACATCTCTAGATGGAGCTAGACCATGCTGCCTACCTGCTGTCAGACTGCGGTACCTGGTGAGGCCTGACTATTGTACATCTCTAGAAGGAGCTGGACCATGCTGCCTACCTGCTTGTCAGACTGCGGTACCTGGTGCTGCCATACTCATCTACATCTCTAGATGGAGCTAGACCATGCTGCCTACCTGCTGTCAGACTGCGGTACCTGGTGCTGCCTGACTATTGTACATCTCTAGATGGAGCTGGACCATGCTGCCTACCTGCTGTCAGACTGCGGTACCTGGTGCTGCTGGACTATTGTACATCTCTAGATGGAGCTAGACCATGCCGCCTACCTGCTGTCAGACTGCGGTACCTGGTGCTGCCTGACTCATCTACATCTCTAGATGGAGCTGGACCATGCCGCCTACCTGCTGTCAGACTGCGGTACCTGGTGCTGCTGGACTATTGTACATCTCTAGATGGAGCTAGACCATGCTGCCTACCTGCTGTCAGACTGCGGTACCTGGTGCTGCCTGTCTATTGTACATCTCTAGATGGAGCTAGACCATGCTGCCTACCTGCTGTCAGACTGCGGTACCTGGTGCTGCCATACTCATCTACATCTCTAGATGGAGCTAGACCATGCTGCCTACCTGCTGTCAGACTGCGGTACCTGGTGCTGCCTGACTATTGTACATCTTTAGATGGAGCTGGACCATGCCGCCTACCTGCTGTCAGACTGCGGTACCTGGTGCTGCTGGACTATTGTACATCTCTAGATGGAGCTAGACCAGGCTGCCTACCTGCTGTCAGACTGCGGTACCTGGTGCTGCCTGACTCATCTACATCTCTAGATGGAGCTAGACCATGCTGCCTACCTGCTGTCAGACTGCGGTACCTGGTGCTGCCTGACTCATCTACATCTCTAGATGGAGCTGGACCATGCCGCCTACCTGCTGTCAGACTGCGGTACCTGGTGCAGCCATACTCATCTACATCTCTAGACGGAGCTAGACCATGCTGCCTACCTGCTGTCAGACTGCAGAACCTGCTGCTGCCATACTCATCTACATCTCTAGAAGGAGCTGGACCATGCCGCCTACCTGCTGTCAGACTGCGGTACCTGGTGCTGCCACACTCATCTACATCTCTAGATGGAGCTAGACCATGCTGCCTACCTGCTGTCAGACTGCGGTACCTGGGGCTACCTGACTCATCTACATATCTAGATGGAGCTAGACCATGCCGCCTACCTGCTGTCAGACTGCGGTACCTGGTGCTGCCTGACTATTGTACATCTCTAGATGGAGCTAGACCATGCTGCCTACCTGCTGTCAGACTGCGGTACCTGGTGCTACCTGACTCATCTACATATCTAGATGGAGCTGGACCATGCTGCCTACCTGCTGTCAGACTGCGGTACCTGGTGCTACCTGACTCATCTACATATCTAGATGGAGCTAGACCATGCCGCCTACCTGCTGTCAGACTGCGGTACCTGGTGCTGCCTGACTATTGTACATCTCTAGATGGAGCTAGACCATGCTGCCTACCTGCTGTCAGACTGCCGTACCTGGTGCTGCCATACTCATCTACATCTCTAGATGGAGCTAGACCATGCTGCCTACCTGCTGTCAGACTGCGGTACCTGGTGAGGCCTGACTCATCTACATCTCTAGATGGAGCTAGACCATGCTGCCTACCTGCTGTCAGACTGCGGTACCTGGTGCTGCCATACTCATCTACATCTCTAGATGGAGCTAGACCATGCTGCCTACCTGCTGTCAGACTGCGGTACCTGGTGAGGCCTGACTATTGTACATCTCTAGATGGAGCTAGACCATGCTGCCTACCTGCTGTCAGACTGCGGTACCTGGTGCTGCCTGTCTATTGTACATCTCAAGATGGAGCTAGACCATGCTGCCTACCTGCTGTCAGACTGCGGTACCTGGTGCTGCCATACTCATCTACATCTCTAGATGGAGCTAGACCATGCTGCCTACCTGCTGTCAGACTGCGGTACCTGGTGCTGCCTGACTATTGTACATCTCTAGATGGAGCTGGACCAATGCCGCCTACCTGCTGTCAGACTGCGGTACCTGGAGCTGCCATACTCATCTACATCTCTAGATGGAGCTAGACCATGCTGCCTACCTGCTGTCAGACTGCGGTACCTGGTGCTGCCTGACTATTGTACATCTCTAGAAGGAGTTGGACCATGCTGCCAACCTGCTGCAGACTGCGGTACCTGGTGCTGCCATACTCATCTACATCTCTAGATGGAGCTAGACCATGCTGCCTACCTGCTGTCAGACTGCGGTACCTGGTGCTGCAATACTCATCTACATCTCTAGATGGAGGTAGACCATGCCGCCTACCTGCTGTCAGACTGCGGTACCTGGTGCTGCCTGACTCATCTACATCTCTAGATGGAGCTAGACCATGCTGCCTACCTGCTGTCAGACTGCGGTACCTGGTGCTGCCTGACTATTGTACATCTCTAGATGGAGCTAGACCATGCTGCCTACCTGCTGTCAGACTGCGGTACCTGGTGCTGCCATACTCATCTACATCTCTAGATGGAGCTAGACCATGCTGCCTACCTGCTGTCAGACTGCGGTACCTGGTGCTGCTGGACTATTGTACATCTCTAGATGGAGCTAGACCATGTCGCCTACCTGCTGTCAGACTGCGGTACCTGGTGCTGCCATACTCATCTACATCTCTAGATGGAGCTAGACCGTGCTGCCTACCTGCTGTCAGACTGCGGTACCTGGTGCTGCCTGACTATTGTACATCTCTAGATGGAGCTGGACCATGCTGCCTACCTGCTGTCAGACTGCGGTACATGGTGCTGCCGTTGGTAGTGTCGAAGGTGACCTTGCCGAAGTGTATGGCGCAGTAGTTGTGCTTATTAGGGCGTGGGTTCTCCTCCCTGAGTAGTATGTCAGCTATCTCCCGGTACAGCTCGACGTCCGTGGAGGCGGGATACCCCATCACACCTACACAGACGGGGTCATCTATACATGGAGGCAGGTACCCAATCACACCTACACATACGGAGGAGATCCTCACTCACTCACTTACTCACTCACTCACTCGCTCACTCACTCACTCACTCAGCTTCTTCACTCGCTCACTCGCTCACTCAGCTTCTTCACTCGCTCACTCACTCACTCACTCACCCGCTCAGCGTCTTCACTCACGCACTCACTCACTCACTCACTTACGCCCCCGTCCGCTATTGGATATACAATCCTTCCCAATACATGTTAAAACAGCTGTAACTATTATATGGACCTTGTTGAGAGGTAAATCACCGACATGGCCAATCAACATGATAAAGCGGAAGTGAGTTAATGCTTAGTTGTAGAGAATTGCATTGCATGCAATCACGAGAATACAATGATAACACATCTCTGAAATTAAGAAAACAAATAAGTTTAGAAAATCCAGATTTTGAGCAAAATAATTATTTTTTCCCAACTTGCCTACCAAGGTCTCTTACTTTGGACTATCCTGCGTACTGCGTGTTTTAAGAATAAAGAGCAATGCATATATTAGTACATACTTGCATTAATCATAAACTGAAATCCCGCAGTGACATTCACGAGAGCCACGAGACCAGCAGCAAGGAGAGCTGTGGAATGACGACCCATTGTTACTTCGGATCTGAAAAAAGAATACATATTACATACATTAACAATTAGTAGAGGGCATCTAACTTTAAGGGTGCAAGTAAGTTTAAAGTAAAATATTGAGACGACACAGGTCTACATTTTCATGCGTATCAAACCGCCTTGCATAGTTAAGCAATAAATTCATCATAAAAAGGACTTTCAATGTATAATTAATTTTCCCAGTAATCTGGATCAAGAATTATCCTCGCATGATGCTGATAATCCTTATCCTAATCCTTAATCTTTCCTCTTTGCATCTGAACATTTGCCGATTGTCATACAGTTTATCTATAAAACCTAAAAGTTCTAAGACGACTGCTGTATGTAAGAACACACTAAAACTGTGATTCCCGCGTGTACAAAAGAACGCTGAATGGTTTTCAAGATCTAATCGGGCCCCTTCGATTTCAAATTCAGTTATCGCCGTCAAATGTGGAACTGAATAACGCGTCGGTGACAACATGCATCCATTCTACTATTCACAACATACTTTCTCTAGTGTTTGATGTTCATTCATGGAAATATAAATATTCACCCACATCATTGGTCGAAGGAAATTCAGCATACGAAACCAAAAACGATGACACAATTTTGCAATTAATCCAATCTATCAATAAAGTGTTGATTCTGGAATGGTGAACACAACAGACATGTCTTGCAGCGACCCCGGTGAATTCCTTATTTGGAGAGGTCTGTGTTTACTCTATTTTATGTCAATAACACCTGCGCATGAAAGCAACTCGCAACTGACATTTTGTAATAATTACTTACATTTGAAAATAAATCAAAGATGCATTAATTTTAATTTATGTTAAAACCTGATCCAGAAAACATGGGTTATCGTTTCACAGAAGGTTTTCGTTCCACACCATGTCGTGAGAAAATATAATAATTACAAGCTTACTTTGAGAGTGCATGGATGTAGATTAAGAAATCATTGGGTGCCTGTAAATTAGATGCTTGGCACACCTTCAACACGATGTTTAGTTTGATAAAAATATTGTTTGTTTTTTCCCCGGTTATTGCCCGCCGTTTTTTGTTGTTCACGAGTCACGTACGTTCTGTAGGAGGCATTCACTGTCATAGTTCTTTCTGTCCCGTCATAGTTCATTTTGTCCCGTACTGTATCTGTTCCTCTATTTAGCAGTATAAGTACAGAGTATAATGAGCACATTTGCCCGGATAGTTTCACTATCTCCATGCCAAATGTTATCAATACTGTCTCACATATAAACGTATGAAAATATTTTTACCCCACTGAAAGCGAAAAACTGTAAAACAAATTTTAAATCGGATGTTAAAATCGTATTATGGTAGTTATGGTAGAATATTAAGACTATAAAGTTGAGACCATAACTTTATGATTTAGCACACTAGATAATTTGACAACTACCATACATTCATTTACACTCAAATATCGGGTTTGTTACCCGGGTGAGCAGATTATGGTTGTAAATGTCTATGAATCACTCACATTATTATTATATGTTAAACAAATTAATGATGTAAAAGTTTCAATTTCTCAAGAAGTTTATGAAATACACCACTAAATAAAATAATACTTTCAAATTTCATATTCTTATCAATTTATTAAACCAGCAGTATATGTATACATGTCGTTTTGTTAATTAAAATAAAAATTAGAAGAGGAAAATATTGGTTTTATTAATTTGAGACTTGCTTAGATTTTAAATTTTTTTTATAATAATATCGTATAATTTATATCGCCATAACCTGTCGGGAATGCTGGTAATGGTAACAAGAAGAATACAATTATCATAACAAAGATCTAAACTTTTTAAATACCAAGACTTACCTTCCTATAGGAGATCCGAGAAACACAAGATGCGTTGCAACTACTTCTCGTCCCTAATCGAGAGGCCACTCCCCCCTGACATATGACCAGTTGGAACTGACAGCACTGACCTTTACATGAAACACGACCAATTAGCTGATGAAACTAACACAAGCCAATATTTGCTCATAGAATAGAGTGGCAAACTGCTTCACCGTGTAACATCCCACAACAATAATAACACACTATGGCCATTCATTGTATTTTAAATGGGACAAATCTCAACCGACTCTTGTCATCATCGGACCAATAACCGAATGGATCGGCAAAAACCATCGACTACAACACTGATGCAGGAATGGTGTCGAGCAGCTCTGCAGGGAAACCGGTGTTCTTGAGTCCAGAGATCTCATTTTATGAATTGGTGTTTGGAAATATTATATGCCCATGAGCCTGAAGTAGAGCTACAATGCTATTGAAATCTCTGAGGTACATGCATCAACATTTGCTGAATGACCTCGGTGATATTTGCTTACTGATAGTAACACTGCTATGCCGCACCTTCATGTAGATTACTATCCCCTGGGGAACATCTCTCTCATCCAGATAGCTAAGTGTCTCGTGTTATAGTTCTGAATATCGGAATTGATTCTTATCTTGTGATTGTAAATTCAAAGTTGGATTTTGAGAAATTTTACTTGAATAATAACAGCGTGTCTAATGAAGGAAAGCCACGTTACACTGGATGTTGGACGTTGAACTCACTTGTATCCAGGTTACTGTTTCAAGCAGCGTTGTCACCAACTCCAACTCCTTCACACGATACACGTTGGGAATCATACCTGAGTATTTGTCGTTACGAACGAACACATTAACGACTCTGGAACCAATATCACAAGTCTGAGAAAAACTTTCATGTTAAACCAAACATTTTTGGTAATGTTCAAGAAAAATATATTCTACTCCTTTTAAGAATTGGCTGAAGTTTGACACTTGTTTGCTTTCTGAGTTTCTGTGATTGACGGTTCTGTAAGCATCTAGTATTGTAATGCTGAACTTCCTGATGGATATCACCAACATATTGTTTGTTTGGTTGGTTGGTTGGTTGGTTGGTTGGTTGTTTAACGCCGCACTCAGCAATATTCCAGCTATATGACGGCGGTCTGTAAGTAATCGAGTCTGGACCAGACAATCCAGTAATTGACAACACGCAATTGGGATCGATGACATGCTTCAACCAAGACAGCGAGCCTGACCACCCGATCCCGTTAGTCGCCTCTTACGACAAGCATAGTCGCCTTTTACGACAAGCATGGGTTGCTGAAGACCTATTCTACCCCGGATCTTCACAGGCCACTAACATGTATGTGAAATTTAGGGATAGAATATTAAGGCAGAAAGAAGGACGAGAGAGGCTGAAACGCTCTGAGCCAAACCATGATGGACTACGTTAATGGAGTTGGTATATATGTATTTTTCAACAGAATCTCCTCCGAGGTGCACATACTTCTGTCAATGATGCTGGACTGTCTGGGTCCCATTGGTATAGAAGGCTCCTCCACAGCAGAAATGATGTCATCATCATTTGCATCTTGCTGGCCAGACAGCTCAGAGGAGGGAATCTGAAGGTGCCAAGTTTTGGTGAATAGGGATGATGTTCAATGAGGTCAAAGCCCCAGTCATGTGTTGCAGCTGTAGCCGGGTGTGGTGTGATGTGTCCAGCCACTGGGCTGCTAGTCAAAACATGAGGCAGTTCTTGGATGATGATGATATTTATTCCTTTGTAGTAGATGGTGGGAGGGAAGCTGTAAAGAAGAGTCCTCCCTCCATAAAGAGTTCATGCAGAATTGTTATAATTTAATTTAAGCCAAAAAGGAAACAGATTAATTTATAAGGATACGTTGGGTAGCACATGGTTGAAGCACATGGTTGAAGACCATGTGCTCAATTAATGTAACACAAAATGGGTGAACTGGCAAATATTTAGATATAACAAATTAAATAATAATGCAATTAAATATATTTTACTTTAATGAAAAGCTGTGCTACCCTTTCTATGAATTTATTTGTTTCCAAGCAGGATGGAAAGAGATAAGAATATTGAAATGTTTCTCACCTGTAAAGAAGAGTCCTCCCTCCATAAAGAGTTCATGCAGAATGTATGAGGAAGGCAGGTGAGAAAGGAAGTTTAAAGAAGTGGACAAAAGGGCCAATCAGAAGAAAGGTAGCATCTGACAGGTATTAAAGGAAGTCAAGATGCTTCAGTCACATAAAGTGGTGGACATATCTAAAAATAGATAGGGGGAAGTCCAGGTGAAGCTGGAGAAATTATAGAGGCTGCAAAAGGGTATCAGGGTTGGTGTTAGTTGGCTGACATTCAACTGCAGACAAGGACAACATATAATGAACACAGGATGAAGTGATGGTGATAATAGATGAACATGTATATATGTATATATGTATAGACTGAATACTAGGGGGTTATAAGTGGGTGGTACTTATGTGGCTATAACTCATTCAGAGTTAGCACCACCACCCGGCTACACAGCCATGGTGACAACAGATTTGTGCATAGGTGCATTGTCCTGGTGGAACATATAGCCTAAATATTCTCGAGCTGTTGCCCAAGCAGATTACCATAATATTGGTCTGTAAATTCGGAAGGTGGTCCACCAGTGGGTTTCCTTTTGAATCGCAGAAAAGCGATGCCATTTCTTCGTCAGACTTTTCCTTCTTCTAGGGCGAAGTTGTATGTTTCCACTGCCTGTGGCTGATAGTGGGTAATTAACCCAGGACTCATCCATAAATAAAACTCGCTCAACAAAATCAAAACGACATAAATTCTCACGATATATGATGAACCTGGAGCATTTCAGAAGCCTTGAGGCTCAATCTTCCCCTCCTGACCCCCGTTGTACACCTCTGAACAGTGGCAAAGAAAAGAGCATCATCCCCTAAATATGACACCATGTCAGCCTGAATGAATGTTGGGGTCAGCCCTTTCAGTTGGAGAGACTTGATAACAGCGCGGTCCCAATCTTGTCCATTTTCATCAACAGAGAATACCTAGTCATTTTGATGCCTGCATAAATATGCTGCCTGGTTTATTTGGCTCAAATACAGGATGTAGGCATGGAAAATATTGAACTCAATACATGTAAACTGTTAAGAGTGTACCAGACATCCTTCGCAGTTAGGCCCAGAACCTTTCAGTCTCCTGTCGTAGGCATCCCCATGGGCGCGAATTGCACTTCTCTGTTTCTTCATGTATATTGACTGGAATTTCACCTTGGGATTTTCAAACTGAAAACACGGGAATTTGACCAAGAAGTTTAATTTAAGCTTCTGGATATTGTTCCACAATGGTCACATACCTAATTCCCTTCCACTGATTTACCCACCTGAACTAAAAATAACAGCGACCAGTGAAACCGCCTCATCTGTTTCATATTTAGATCTATGCACAAAGAACCACAACACTGTATGACAAGAGGGATGACCTCAACTTTCCAAACGTCACCTTTCCCTTTATTTCGAGCAATATTCCAGCAGCTCCGGCCTTTGGTTCAAAATTTCCCATCTTTCGAGCTACAACCCAACGTGCTCTTTCTACGAACATTTCAAAGATCGTGCTAGGAATCATTCAAGTCCTTAGAAGAGCTTTCAAATCATTGTAAGCAGGACAAGTGGAAGATATTTCCAAATTTGACGCATCTGTGACAAAAATAATGCCCCATTCATTTCCCTATTTTTAAGTGTACCATATGTTACCGGGGTATTTTTTCAGGTAAACATTTGACTTGTGACGAGTGCCACCGGTGGGGCAGGATACACTCACCGGATCGCAAACACCCGATATCCTATCTATTTGATAGTGATCATAAACACATGCTGAAGATAAAGTCTGAATCACCCAATGGACTCCGTCGGCTGAGATTTCTTATGATTGTCGCTTATATTTATTAATATTATATCCATCATAAACCTTAATTAATTATCATCATGTCGTTTGATTGACGACAACTGTATTGGATGAGGAAATCGTTTACAGAAAAGTCATTAAGTGTGGTCTGATTCCTTCAAACAAACACCACAATCTGCTTCCGATATGAGTTAACAAGGACAACAAAAATGTCCTTAATCACAAACCATTTCTCAGTATTGGACACAAATGGTTAAATATTACATGGCAATTCAATCTAATACCGGAACCTCGTGTTTACTTTACAACAGATGGCGATATCATTGAAATAACGCGATAACTTTCGAGATTAAATACTCGAGTCACTGAGTAAACAGGTTCTCGTCCTCTGAAGAAGTTTCTCGGATGCGACAGAGGAAGGAGGCTTGAAGAAGGAACTCAGTTCTGAGCTGAACTCGTCTCCGATAAAACAAGTTGTATTACTTTGAAAGAAGGTAATAAACACGGTCGGACAGTTACGATCCCCTAAGTCTGCTTCCTTAAAGTCCGTAAAACGTTCGTTAGATTTCGATATTTTTAGACTCGGATATTTTGTTAATTATTTGAATCAGAAAATACTGGGACAATTTATTGCTTCAAGTTTTAGTATAGAAAAGAGACTGTTCGTTCCTCCTTTCAGAGAGAAAAAAGTACAGTATGTCTTAAGTGACATTTTCTGCTGTAGAACCCTGACAGGGGATTCCATGCAAGGAATGAAGTGTGTTAATGTGGGTAGTGGTGCGGCTTTGGGCTATTGGCTTTGGGGTGGGGGTGATGAATGAGAATTGGGTGTTTGTATATTTCTCTTGTAGATATTCATTCACCAACTTTGAAATGTTAACAGAGGGTCCATCATTCAGGTCAGTTTAAGGTTCTGATAAATTTGTTTCATGCTGTGCAAACACTGTTAATTTAAGTATACTGATATATATGTATTTCGTTTCGTTTTGTTACATCTCGACAGTATGTCAGTTTCACACAATGCATCAATTACAATATATACACTAAATGCTCTCAAGTCGTTGATAGCAGCATCCCTTCAGACATATGGAATTTATGATGAGATAAGCACCCTTTTAGATATGTTGATTGATGATGGGGTAAGCACCTATTGTTATGAGTGGATTGATCCTAAAATAAGCACCCCTTTAAATACATGAATTGATTCTG